AGTGCATTAAAAACATTTACCAATTTTTATTTGTTTGAACGATAATACAGATTGACCGATAATACCAGACTATCACTATATCATGAAAAGTGTATCAACACCGTATGCTACCGTGCCGTCGTGGCATGCAGTTCATCCATAATGGATGTAATTTCATTGAAAATCGTACAGATTTAAAATACTCAATAATTTTGTAATAGTCTGAATTCGTCTTGCAAAATATAGAATGAACAAAATATTGAAACCATTTACTTGCCGTCTGATATCGTACGGTCATTGCATGCAGCTACAGTGTACTTGCCGTGTCTGATATCGTACGGTCATTGCATGCAGCTACATGCATTTCCTGGTCTACATACGGTGTCTGTACAAATTTCATACCGCTAAAATTTTATCATATGCGACAACTGCAAGAATAATTAACAATCAACGCATGATTTCAGCGTGCAAATTACTTTTTTTTCAGACTTTGTAAACATCAAAAGAAACATGTGAAAACTACTAAATTAATCGTTGCGCAAAGTGCAAAGTCAGTGCGGTTCCAAATTTTCAAAGAACTTAGGCCTGATGGAGTAAATGAATTTCAAATTTCGGGAGCCAGGATACGACCGCGTTATATCCGAATTCGCGTTATGGCAGGGCGCATTAAAGCGGGGTTCCACTGTAATTGGTTGCCAAGGCATGGCTTAAAGCCTACTTTCATGAAGTGAAATTCAGCGATTGGACAGATAACTTGAACTCTAGGAAGCTTTTAATAAAATATCATTATACAATAAAACTGACCCTTGGCAGAAGCTTAATAAAAAAAAATAATTAAATACCTATTTAAATGCAGCTGCAATAGTGGTTAATTTCATTACCCGGTTAAAAGTCATTATAAACTATTCAACAAATGCATTATCAATTACCTTGATTTGTTCATCTTCTCCAACTGCACATGACAGGTCTGTTTCTTCAAACCCTGAAGGGTTCATTCTCTGTTCCAAAACATTTCCAGATGAGCTGCCTGGAGGAGGGTCTGGGGAGTTCAGACAAGTCTGAATTAAAGCCTTCCCACTTTCACTAGTGATCATTGGCTGAAGTTTACGTGTGGCAAATGTGTAGACATGTCCAGTTTCACTGGCTACTAGTAACATTACTTGAGTACCTGTTAAAGTTGACAGTTCATAGGCCTGAAACATGAGCATGATTTATCAATTAAAAAGCAATTTTGTTACAGACCGTCGATTTTGAATATTTGGAATCACATAAATCATAATGCATCTGGATAAACTAAAAATAATAACAAGGTGTTATATAATCAATTGTCTAGGATCCCACCCTTACATAAAGTATAGTTTTAAATGACTTTAAATTAAATTTGAGTGAATCACCTATCTCTGAGTAGTTTGAGGAAAGTTAAAAATGACATTTTTATTTTAAGTTGAAATGGTTACCGGTATTTCATTATATTATTAATACTATGAAAGTGAATATTTATATACCATTAAAATTAGGTCAATATATTAATCAAATTGGACTCATGGGTCATTATAATATCATAGACAGAAAAAATTAATTCTTTTGAGCCATGGCCATAGTATTTAACTAATTTATTAATCCTATGCAAATGACATCTATTACACTACTAAATAACTAAATCAAAAGGACTAGACTATAAGTCAGTATATTTTCTAGTCTATATTATAAACTATATATAAAAACTAAATTGACTATAATATAAAATGACTGATAATTAAGTAGTAATAGTAATAGTAAATAGTAATGATTCCAAAAATAAAAATAAATTTGTTAATTAGTAACTGGTTAAGGAAAGTTCAGTCCCAAGGAAAGGGTTTCAAGATTATCATCACAAGCATCAATTAATACATTTACATTGCTAATAAATAACTACAAGAATACTACTAGGACTTATATGAATATGAAGGCTACTTTTTTGTTGGGTTTGTTAATATTAGTATTATTGTTGTTCAATTGAACAGCGCGCTTATTAATACAAGTACGGTAAACGAGATTTTTATGTTTTATTCACAATTGAGAGCTTCTTTTGCGAATAGATATCATTTCGCAGACATTAATACTATATCAAAAGAGAGATGTTTATATTGGAAATCTATCAAAATGTATTTTCATTGATGATTGAATGTTATAATTTATATCATTTAATTGGCATTAATATAAGCATAATCGTCATAAAGAAAAAAAAATTAATAAAACAGGATGTAAGTAGCGGGTGGCCTAGTTAAAAATAAACAGGGCAGCTCAACAAGTGTAAATACTAATCAATAAATACTATAGATGGTTAATATTCGATATGGCAAATGAGTATACATTACCTTTTTCATTATTCCAGTTTTTCGCTTACTGAATGTAGTGTAACGTCTTAATTTATTTTCAATAAACTCCATTTTAATTTTGACTCTTCCTTTTGTCTTTTTCCCTGGCTTGAGGCCCGAATTAGTAGCATTTTGTTGTATTCCATGTCCTTGCTGAAAAGTAGCAATATCTGAATCTGATTCATCATCTTCTAAGCTTGGGTCTTCCTCCTCAAATATAAAGTTATCTGGGGCTGCTAAATTGCTGGATACGTAAATGTTGTTATTTGCACTACCATTCATTGTTGATACACCACCGGTATTCACATTCGACAAAGATAGGCCAGTTTGGGTTTGATTTTGCATGTTCTCCAAAAGGAAACAAGTTTACTAACAACCTTATTCCGTAGCCGTCACCATAACGGGAAAAGTGTCCATTAATGAGCATTAAATTATTCCGCGAAATTAAGAGTTCTTTGATGAAAAAAATGTTAGATAATCTTATAATTTTCAATATATCATTTTGAACCATTAAAATTAATTATTAATTTAAAAATAAAAGATTTTAAAGTAGTTCTCTCTATAGGTTAAAGAACGAGAAAATTGTGTGCGGATTAATATTTCACGCTAATACCTATACATGGTAAAGGCCATTTTGGGCATTTAGTTCCTTTCCATATAAGGATTCGGCATCCAAATATGGCCAGTATGCTCAAATAGGGAATTATAGATTTTTAGTTTATTGATAAGATCGTGCAACAGTTTTGTTATGAAAATTGATTGCAGAATGTGCAGGTCTAGTGGTAATGCTATTGTGATAATTAATTGTAATCACGAACAAAAAGGCAATTTAAGATGTATATTATACACCCGGTATATAAAAAAAAGACTTTCTATCAAATAAAGACAAGTTAAAAGGGACCAAAAAGTAGAAAATAACTTACAATTTCTTAAAATGCATTACGCATTACTCAAAAAACGACTGCGCTGAAGTGTAAAAGAGCACCATACGTAGCCAAATGTTTCGAATTGAATGTAGACGAAACTTACAATTTTAAAATATTAATTAACTTTTAAAAATGGTTTCTACACATACTGTCTTTGAGTGATTAAATTATTTACTAACTATAGTGCGCTTGAACTCCCATTTTAGTATTAAAATTGTAATCTTAAAATTTAATATCGAAAAATGTAAAATTATCTACATTTTTAAACATGGAAAATCCGGGTTAAGTGACTTTTAACACTTTACCTAGGCACAAAACTAATATAAAAGTAGATCTGCGCTCAGCGACCCCCCCCCCCCCCCCNCGTTCAATCAATGAAGAGGGCGCGGTCTACCACAATAATTTGAGAGACACTGTCAACCCCCACCCCCAAACAGTTGATCCAGGATTCTATTCCAGCCGTTCAACAATAAACACCGAACGAAAAATCTTAACATTTCAACTGTGAAAAAAAAAAAAAAAAATACACGAAAAATAAATAACGCTTCATCCACGCACAATTTGAAAATGCGAGTTGAGAGAAAATTTTTAAAAATCACAGTCAGAGTTTGTACTCTAGATTCATAGCGAACATTTTAAAGCTAAAATTAAGACTAAATAATATATTAATTATGTTTAAGTATTTTGTATACATATATATATATATGCATACCACCAGACCTAATTTTAAATATGATACATTTAAAAGTATGTTGTTTCATTTTCGTTTTAAAAAATAGTATAATCATGGGTTCAAATAGTCTAAATTTTGCCTTAAATAAATTGAATCATTTTCGTTTATTGTCGATTACTCCAGGGCAAGCAGAGGCACAATTTAACTCAAATATAAATAATAATTCTAAACTAATTCTAATTAATACACATATTTAGGCCTATCACATAAACTGGTGTCGGAATGTTGGTGGGAGAGGCACATTTCTGCTTGCTCGTTTTATTTGTTTGGAAGAAATGATTTTTTTTTTTTTTTTTTTTACGAATTAACGTAAAGAAGGATGAATTCAAGAAATAATTCGTGTACTTGTAAGTAACTGCGAAAAGTATGCCCATCGAAAGAATCGTGGTTTTGTTTTTTTAGGCCTATCACATAAACTGGTGTCGGAATGTTGGTGGGAGAGGCACATTTCTGCTTGCTCGTTTTATTTGTTTGGAAGAAATGATTTTTTTTTTTTTTTTTTACGAATTAACGTAAAGAAGGATGAATTCAAGAAATAATTCGTGTACTTGTAAGTAACTGCGAAAAGTATGCCCATCGAAAGAATCGTGGTTTTGTTTTTGTGTAAATTAAACTTAAATCAGATGTAGGAGTCTGCCAATTTCATCTTGAGTTTTGTTAAAGCGTATTTAAACTGATTTTGCTTTTTTTTTTCTCCTTTAAAAATAGTACAGTGTTTAGTTTGTTCATGATTGAAAATGTAATCGTAGTGATAATTAAGGATATTAAAAATTAAGAGCAACAAATAGTTCCGTATGCATAGGATGTGGGTGTGGAGTGGGCGGTATTCCCCGGGCGGTACATTTTTCTTTACATGGTGGGGTGGCAGAGCTTTTTTCGTTGGAGGGGTTGCAAAAACCTTGTCCCGCCCCGGGCGGAATTAACCCTAGCAACACCACTGGCTACAAATAAATGACATCATTACCAATTTCAATTACCTATTTGAAGAAAAGTAGGTTAAAGGGCAGTAACAGTTATTTTATTCTTTCGTGAACTCTTCTTCACCGAGTCACTGTTTAATGTTTGTGTTAATTAACAGCTGGTGGGCGAGAGAAATAGCTCGTTGCTGTTGGTAAACTCAAGTGGTAATCTGGGTTGTAGAAATTGAAGAGGGGAACGTTACTATTCGTTGCAAGTGCATTATTCTTTTTTCCTCGACATGGCATCTGATTCATGTGGTAACGATGCACAATCTGGGAAGAGCTGCACCAAAAAGCTTATTAATAAGGTGCTTGTGACTAGTGACTGATATTGACAGTCAATATTGATATACTTAGACTACGTCTAAATATAGATTTTATAGTCTATAGTTCATAAATATCATATTCATATCATTATAGTTACTACCTATTAATTTTAACACCAAATATTTAATATTTTATTAAGTTTATTAAGCCAAACTAAGTGTTAAGCACACGACCTATCAGTAACAATAACACTGATAACACATCATATATGAATTTGACAAGATTATATGACAAGACAAAACAACTGCACTTATTAAGTGACTTAACTGTAACTGTTACTACTCCCGCAGTGGTTCTCAAAAAGGATGATACCTCCCTGGGGTAAGGGGTATTACCCAGCATGTGGGATTTTAAATTGTGGGTCAAGTTAACAGGGCTAACATTCAATATTCAATGGAAAAGGGTAAATTGTCCATTCAAATTTATTCATGACCCAATTTATATTGTAAACAGCCTTATTTTTTTGGTGCCAATAACATTAATGTAAGTGTCTTAAGTTGCTAAAAAAAGTATTTAAATTTAAAACATTTATAGCTTACCGAAAGGTCAGTGACAGAAAAAATAAATGAAGGTTCACTTCTTTGGGTAAATTGTAGGATCGTCATAGTAAGATATATATTGTACTTAATTGATGATAAAAGTAATTTAATATTAGTTTGTGAGGTACAATGCAAAAAAAAAAACCAGATCACCTCAGACCCAAATGTTAAATGGCCACAAAAGTTTTTGCATATTTTTTTATATGCAAAGAAATTTGCTCGGACGAGTATCAAAGTACCAAGTGGGGAGTTAAAATGATTTGTCTTGGGGTTTGGGGAGAGATGAATTCTGAAACTGGTGAATTAATAATCCAACCTGATGACTATTAAAAAACAAGCATCACTTCACCAAGACTATTCATCTTCTTAGCCGTTCTCACTCCCATTGGAGCATAGGCCACCCACAATACTTTTCCATCTCTCCCTGTCCTGGGCTATATTTGCTATTCAGCCCAGCGTTTCTTCACTCTCTTCACCTCGGTCTGTACTCCCCTCTTCCATACTGCTCTTGGTCTTACTTGTTTTGTCTTCCCCTCCTCCAACATTGTTCTAACATTCCAGGTGCCAATCCTGGAACTTTTCCTCAGCGTCAGACAAGTCAGCTCCCTTATGGGTTTGGCTAACCTGCATCATTATCCTTTTATAAGGACTGGCCCTTGCTGGGGGTGGCAAACACTTATTGGTTGTGGATGTTTTCGAAGCGGTAGTTGATTTTCTTGCAATGAATGGGTTGCTAGCCCATTGCAAAGCAAGATACAATAAGTCGCCTTTACGACAAGCTTGCTTGGCTGTGACTTATTCTACTCCTATATTAGGTCCCGTCAGTTGCACCATCCATCATAGCAATAATAAAAATTGAGAGGTGAAGACATAAGTTACTTAATTGAATTAATAATTAAATGTAATAAAATAAATTGTATTGTATTAAATTGGATTGAAAGTTCACTCATGGTATTCTTCATTTTTGTAGCTACATTAGATCGTGTCACATTGCTTTGAGGATCATGCAAATTAATATCCTGAATATTAGGGGATTGTGTCCTCCTTGGTTCTCACCAGTTTTTTTTCTAAACAGCTGTGGCACTGGTCAGTGCTTCTGTTTATAAAGTATTGATACAATTTTTGCCTCTCCTGAACAATGGCCGATTTCAGTCGCTAATTTATGACGAAGGTAAGCATTTTGTTGGAATGCACCCCCAGAAGCATCATCTACACGGTTTATTTGGGGACCATATGACTGGTTTGATGAAGGTTACATTCTCCCATTGAAGGATGGTTGCTGTATGGGAAGGAGCTCCGTCTGGTTGCAATGTTCAGTTGTGACGATTACATCTTGATCAAATATTCAAAAGTACTCCTTGACTTAAGATGGGTTGACAATAAGACTCACTGTTCACTTTGGCTCCAGGTTCCACAAATAATCCACTGGTTTTTCCTATCAGGACCACAGACCGAAACCATGATGTCACAACCAAAATGCTCATGTTAGAGTATTAGTCTCGTTGCTGGAACTTAAAAAAAATTTCTATGCTTCAGAAAAAATATGATCATTTTGAGAATTAATGGGTTTGGCAAAAGGGTGCTTTTATTCTGTAGATATATTGCTTTGTAAACTTCTCTTGTTTGGAAACTTATCTAGTAACTATTGACTCTGTTGCTGGCATTTTGATTTACAGTATATACTGCCTTATTATGCGTTTGTACATTTGAAGTTGATGTTTTGCTTTACAATATGTTCCACTGCTCTTCATGATTTGCCAGTTGCTCATTCAATTTCTTGTGGAGTATTGTGATCGCGAGGATCATCATCCTGGCTGCAAATCAGCTCACTCACACACTGAATGTTCTGCACTGTTCTGAATAAGGTTGGCCACTTCCTGGGATTCGTGCTATTGTACCATCTGCTTTAATATTGTTAACAAAGTTCAAGTCGATTAAGACTTGTTTGTCTCCATGCTTTATCAGGAAACACTTTGTCTCCATGCTTTATCTGGAAACACTTTAGTCATTTGTCCAGCTCACAATGTTTTTCAATTCACAATTTTTAAATGAGAATACAATATTCTGCTGCTATTGTTCCCATTTTATAAAAACACTGAAAAAAAAATTAAAATAAATTCAAAGTAGAGATGTCATGTGTACAGTTAGTAAGTAATTTTTGTATTACTAATATTCATAGTGAACTCCAGAATTAAACACCATTGCCATGACTGGTATGACCTGCAGAAAGAATTTACCAAGTCCAAGGTCTGAGGAGGGTGGGGGGTAGGCTTCCACCACTCAGAGGTGGGATAGGCATCCCTGGTTAGGAGGGAAGGCAGAGGGAACTGGGGATTATTTTATGCCCCAAAGGGTGCCATATCCAGAAAAAGTTTGAGAATCACGGAGAAAGACTAGCAACCCCTTTTCAATCACCATTTTCATTTGGCCTCTCTGTGAAGCTTTTGTTAATTTTCATTGCTGCCCACAAAGTACATATCGGTACTCTACTTACATTTAGACGATTCATTTTATTACTATGTTAACTTGGTTCAATTTTAATGACATCATCCACATCATGGCTGACATTAACAATACTAAAGAAAGAGAGAGAGAGATCAACAGCAACAATGTTTAGGAAGCTCCATAAACACACTAAAAACAAATCTCATTATGTTTCTACTTAAGAATCACGGAGATTTTTGATGCCTTACTGGTAATGAAACAACATATTTAGATGAGCTTACCTCATATTAAGGGTGATTCTTGAGGCCCCATTTCAATGTTACTAAGTTTTAAAATAGTCCCTAAGCCAACAAGTCTTTTTATTCTCTCTTACAGATCTGTTAATCCCAGGGTTAGGGGAAATAGGTCACAGAGAGACTGGAGTGCTTTGGTTTCTATTGTAGGTCTCATAGGAGGACTTTTTTTAATGATCAGTTCATCAGGAATTAATCCTTGCTACAGTTGTAAATCCTCACAATTTCACAGTGTTTCACAAAAATGGTGGGTAGCTTCTGGGATTTTAAATCGACTCTCTTTATAAACTCAGTTCCCCTTTGTGATCTTCCAAACATTCCTTGTGACTGTTGAACACACATTCTGGCTTTGGCCTGTTTCTTAGCTGCATGAGGGTTTCATACTTGTCTTGACGATTTCTTGAAGTTTTCATCAGCATATGCTTGATAATTTGTACAGCTTATTCAGCTTTCATATTCACCCTGTTGTGTCACCGCCTTGATTTTAAGTGCTTGAACTTCAGTTTGATTAATAAAACAGCTGGTCCCTCCTAATTAAAATTAAGATACCGGTAATTAAATATAAAAGCTTGGAAAGGAATGTGAAAAATTAGTTGCTTTTAGAAGATAATTTCATTGGTGAAAATTTGTTTTGTTTTAGGTTCTTGATTGTGAACGTGAGTGCAATGAAGGACTAGTGGCGGTTAATCCTGGAATCAGTCTTGTAGAAGGACAAACTGTTGTTGTGCGCACTGATGTCAGAGATGTTGTGTCAAGAGGAAAAGTTGTGCTAATTAGTGGCGGTGGATCAGGACACGAGCCTGGTCATGCTGGTAGTAACATTATAGTTTTGCTTTATATCATAATAACTCTTAAGAAGAATAAAATAAATTTGGTAGTATCATAGATATATTTGATCAAATAGTTAAATTTTTTGGGTACCATCATTTATTCTTTGACGGATAAAAATTATCTTTAAACCTTTCTATTTACTGTGAGTAAATTTTTAAAAAAACTTTGTTAATTTTACCACATTGCTCAATAGTGTCTTAAGTTTCATTAACCAATATGGAGTATATGAAAATATGTTGACTTGAAATTAGTTTGAAGCACATTTGAATTGCAAAACTTTTCCTAGTTTTTCAATTTTGCATGTTTAACTATTTCTTTCTACTAAGGTAAAGTCTCATATTTCTTTTCAATATTGTACAGTATTATATTTCTTTTCACTAGTGTACAGTCTGATATTTTTTTCCTTTGCTTCAGGCTATGTTGGAAAGGGAGGTTTGACAGCTTGTGCCTGCGGATCTGTGTTTACATCCCCTCCACCTGGATGTATTATGGCAGCCATCAATGCAGCATGCCAGCAACACAAAGGTGTCTTTTTTTAGATAATATACAAAAACAAATAAATTATTGTTGGGAATTATTTAAGATGTTTATGATATACCAGTTTAACATATTGACAATTTGCTGACCAAAAATAATATAAATGAAGAACAACATAATAAACCATAAGCTTTTTAACAATGCAAAATCCTTTTTTTTTAATTTTGGTCTGTTTAAAAAAAATAATTAAAATCAATATACATCATTCATTGAATTATTTATTTACATTTACTTTATTCAAAACATTTCAAATTTTTCTCCTTTGTGCTACTTCTAAGAAACCTATAACTTAATGAAATATGAGACACACACAAAAATACCATTTCTCTTGGTAGGTTCAAAATTAAAATAATTTTATTGCTACCATAAGAACCACAAAAAAGGAAAATTTAACATTGCTGATGCCTAGATTTAGATTTTATTTTGGTCAACCAAACACTCAGGCTGCCAGGTACTGATGATAGTTACCAATTATACTGGTGATCGCCTCAACTTTGGTATAGCATGTGAAAGGGCGAGAGTTAAGGGCCATAAAACAGAAATGGTTGTGGTTGGTGAAGACTGTGCTTTAGATTCTGTGGATCATTCTGCAGGAAGGAGAGGGCTAGCAGGAACAATGTTTATTCATAAGGTATTTGTTAATCATAACTATCTTATAAAAACAAATTTGTTTACTCAATGAAAATTCAATTTTAAAACCAATTTCCATGAAAGTTAATTTACTTTCTTCATAAAATCCCATTTAATTTAAAAGTAAGTACCGTAACACCTTACTGTTAAACTTAAAATAACTTAGGAGACAATGTAGTTTATTTAAAAATTAGATTGCAGGTGCAATGGCAGAGCAAGGCCAGAGCTTAGAAGAAATGGTCTCATCTCTAAATGTGATTAAAATGAAAATGGGTGAGAATTTAATTTCATAAAGATTCAGTCATCATATATTTTACTAAAACATTATTTTAACCCATCTTCATTTATAATTATGTCATTAACAAAAGTCATGATAATAATTATCAACTATGTTGCATCCATTTAACAATAAGCATAATGTGCCCAAGCAAAAAATAAATTGAAATTATGGTATCTACAATCATCTAAGTGAAATATATTTTTTGCAATCATAAAATTGTTCACCAGGTACGATCGGCCTCTCCCTGTCCCCATGTTCAGTGCCTGGATCTGGACCTTCATTTACATTGCAGGCTGATGAAATGGAATTAGGATTAGGTAAGCTATGCTTCCCTTTTTGAAGTCATTTAAATATTGAAAGAAAAATGTTAGAAATTAAATGAAAGTGACAAAAATATTTAATTAAGAACAAAACTTTTTTTTCCTTTATTATAAGGATACTGTCCAAGAGTATGTTGGTTAAATTTATTCCTTACTTTAAGTGCATAGAGGTCATGAAGCACTGAGATTCACTTTTGAAATTTCTGAGAGGATATTTTTTTTACACTATTATTTTCAGACGTAATGTTTGATAATGCAAAAAATTAATGATTAAAAAAATTGCTGTGAAATTATAAAAATGTGACATTAAGACATTGATGTCAGCGCTTTAAAAAGATATATAATTTTATTAAAACATTTTTTTTAAGGAGTGCACGGTGAAGCAGGTGTTCGTAGAATGAAGGTGGGTATTTTCTGTATTTCTGAACTTGAGGGTCATAATTAATTTTTTTAGTCTATTCGCCAAAAGGACAATGTTTCTTTCTTTTTTTTTAATAATAAAAAAATCTATTTACCGGTATATGCATCTAAGTTTGTAATTTCACCACGAATATCTTTGCTAATGAAAAATATCGTCTCTTTTGTTTACTTAGATTCAGACAGCAAAAGAAGCAGTCAAAACCATGATGGATCACATGACCAACCCAAAAACATCAACTCATATAGATATAAAGAAAGGTTTATTTCAAATAAGAAATTATTTCTGTTTAATTATAATAAATCGTACAGTAAAGTGTACCCTAAATTACTTCTTTTTCTTATTGCACAAAGTGTATCATATTACTTATATTGCAAATGCACTGTGCAAACTGTGCATTTATGATTTTAAAACTATTTTTTTATCATTAATCTCCAAGCTAAATCAAAATATTTAATATTATGCTCTTTGTACATTCTGAGAAAACCTGAGCTGCCGATTTTAAAAATAAAAGCAATCTATCACCCCTGTACCCTTAAATATTGAGAACTTGAAACTGCTTTTGGATCTTTTGCTACACACTGCTGGAAGTTGAAGGATTTTCTACTGAATCCTGAAAATGGTTTCCATAGCTTTAGGTCTGATACTGATATGTCAAATATAACTAATTTTGCGTATTAACTTTAAATTTATGTTCTAATTAACTAGGTGATCGAGTTGCATTGATGGTGAACAACTTGGGAGGAACATCTGTGCTTGAACTCAATATTGTAGCTAAAGAAGCAATTTCTTATTTAGGTAATTTTTATTTTTTATTAATTCTTTTTATTGCAGCATATCTGTACAAGAACATGTGAGGTTTTAATAAAAATCACACAGGAAGGATAAGAATTGACCCTGATGTAGGATATGGTTTGATTTGAGACATTAGAGTTTATTTTCTGCTTGTGAAATATGTAAAAGCTCAACTTTGAAATCAAATTGTACTGGTATTTGATATAAAAATGAGACAACATAAAACAATACAAATGATAACTTATTATAACACATTTTCAAACTTTTTATAAATTTTAGGCTCTCAAAATGTGTTAACTCAGTGGTCTATATAAAAAAAAAAATTAACTTGAAAATTAAATGAAACAAACTTCATTAACAGTTTTACAAATATAACATGATTGAAATTTTATAACATATTTAACATTAAACAGAGGCTATTGGTGTATCAGTGGACAGAGCTTATTGTGGGACTTTCATGACATCACTAGAGATGGCCGGGGTTTCTATCACTGTGTTACATATCGATGACGTTGTCTTGGAATACCTTGGTACAGTATTTAGTTATCTTGTTGTCATATAATCAAGTATTGAAGTATTTATTAGATGAAAAGGACTGCAAAAAAGGTTAGTAAGGATAAAAAAAGTCTTTTTATGTGTGTCCATTAGGACAGAGCTCAGCAACTCTTTTTCACCTGGGGCACATCCTAGGCATTTCTAAGAATTCCATGACACAATGCAAGTATGGAACATGAAAAAAAAATTATAAAGAACAGGAGAGTATACTGTAATGCTAAAAGTTATAATATCACTCTGTATTGCTCTATATTAATAGTCTGTATTTGTCACATGTCTATTATGGGGTTGTTTGACAGTTTGGTGATTGGCTAACCTATTTGTTTTAGCAATACGGCTTTATCATATTTATATGCCTACATATGCTTTTCCTTTTAATGGAGGCATTCAGCAATGCACACCTTGCATCATCTCGCAGTACACCATTTCGGAGCTTTGTATAAGCAGTAGAAGAGTCCTCTGTGAACTAATAATAATAATAATAATTAGTGGTCTTTTATAGTGCGGTACCCCAGCCTAGGACTGGGCTCACAGCGCTGTACATAAAAATATTATCAAAAGAGACTACCAAGAATCTTGTTTTCAAATGAACGTTTTAAATGTTCTATGGGGTAATGTTAGGAAAAGAAAATAAATGAAAAGAAAATAAATAAAATGGTATGATTTAATTTTTTTTCAAACAGGTTTTTGAATTTTAGCTCTTCTTTCAATTTTTGTTTTTCTAATCATCAATTTTATAATTATATGAACCCTCTGATATGATGCCTTATCTTTTTACTTTATAGATTATCCTACAGATGCCCCAGCTTGGCGGACACCTTACCTCCCACCAGGGGAAAAGTTAAGGAAAACTCCTGGACTTGTATCTGTTGAAGCAGAAGATGTAATTTTGTCCGATGATGGTGCATACAAACTGAATGCTGGTAAAAAAATTGATATTCAAAACAGAAAAGATTGTAGACTCTGATTAAAAATTCATCTTCAGAGTCATGTGACTTCATGTTTCAAGACTATTTTGTTTACTATAATTTACGGTCCTTATAAAATTTAAGATAACAAACTCACATATATCTTAAAATAAAGCACATTTTCATCTTCCAAAATTAAAGATTAAATCCACTGTAAGACCTTGAGCAATTAAAATGTTGTTTTTTATTGGCATCCAAGTGCGTGGTATTTTTTTTAAACCTTACCAATGCTTATCAGTGTAGAAGCGTGCTTTCCAGACTTTGTATTGCAACACAATTGTGCAAATAAGCAATACCAACATTCAAAAAGTTTTTACCCATATGTCACATGGCTTTTACATTGTTAGGCTGAATCCACTCTTTTCCCATACAAATATACACTGGGTTTAGCATTTTAATGGTCACATTCATTTAATTTAAAGCCCAACATTGTTATTCCCATTTATGTTTTAAACATTGTTTTTGCCTTCTAGTGTGCAGATTTTGAATTAACTTAAATTTTAAGTTATCGCCAAGCATCAGTTTCCTGGCTTCTCTAAATGTGCAATATGGTTTGTTCTAACTCGCTATCAAAGCTGGGGAGCTGGTGCAATGATTTTAATGTTTAGTTATTGTTGAAACTAAATTTAAAATAAATTTGCAGTTTCTTCATCAATTTAGAGTTGAATTATGTGTAAAATTGTTTAGTTTCTCATTATGAAAAAAGAAAGGATTGTCAGATAACATTTGGGATGAACAAAATTTAGCATGCAAAAAGTATTGTCCATGCATCTTTTAACATGAATTCTTTGAGATACAACACACGTTAGTGCATACTTGCCTTGAACTGTAAGCAACAAATGTTACACTTACTCATGTGAATATAATTTCTCAATGGCAGATTTTTCAGCCCAAGTATACAAAGCTGTCAAGGCTGCCTGTTTGAAACTTGTGTCAGTTGAGAAAGAACTAAATGAGTTGGACAAACAGTCTGGAGATGGCGATTGTGGATCTACAGTAGCACTTGGGGCTAATGGTAACAAAGGATTATAATAATTTTTTTTGCATGTCATTATTTTAACTAGTTTCTATAGTTTCTATTTTTCCCAAATGTTTTGGTTAAATTTCTCCATCTTCATGTTTTAACAACTTACTATCTTTAGGGGCTGTCCACTTTTAAGTAGAAATAAATCATAATATAAATATTTTGTATTTTAAAGAAAAAAAATTAACACTATTATTGTAGCAATAATACACACCGTACAATAAAATAATTACATTCTTGATATATAACAATTAGAAGAAAAGGAATGTATGGTTCTCATATATTATTAAGACAGTCAATGTTCCCAATAATGTGAAAATTAATTTAAGAGAGCAACACTGCTATGTCATCTTAATATTAATCTTATTTCCATTTTAAAACAAAATGATATGCAGACTTAAGGTAATGGCGTACATGATATATTTAAAAGTTTAATTCATCTGCTGAGCCTAAATTAGTAAGAATAACCTTTGTGTTGAAAATGTTGCTTTTATTGTATTTCTTTTGAGTAATTGTTTTGCTATGTATGGGTTACATTTTTCCCTGTGTTATTTAACATGGTTTTTGGTGCATGATACTTTAATCAAATAGATATTTTAATAATTTAAGAAATTTATAGTTGCACATTTGTCATAATTTTAATCTCTAGCAATTTTAAAGAAGCTGGGAGACCTCTCTAAACCAAATCTTCCTGTGGATTGTCCACATGCTTTAGCACTGAGTCTAGGTCAGATTACAGAAAATGTCATGGGTGGATCTTCAGGGGCTGTAAGTGCTCTCAAAAACGCTTGTGCATTTAATGGTCTTTAGTTGCTTGTACATGAGAAAGCTGCATGCTTTGGTGAAATAGGGTAACATTCAGTTTATTTAATATGGTACAAATGATTTTCTGTAATTCTATTTGAATTATTTATTTTTTATTTCTAATATTAGTTTCATTCTTTCACAACTAAAATAATTTTTTTTGCAACGCTGTAGAAAGTACTGTTAAAAATACTAAAATAAATTTGAAAAAAATCTATGTTACCTATATATTTCTTTTTCATTACTATATATAAACAATTTATATTTAAAGCAATCCACATTATAAACTTTTTGTTTGAAAAAAGCCCTAAAATGCCTTGTCTGGGTATAATGTTATCTGTTCATCTTGTCCATTATAATACAATACCTATTAACGAAATAAAAAAAAAAAATTTTTATATTTAAATTAATTAACTGTTGTAATACCAATACAACTATGCTAATATCGCTTCATAGGGAAGGGAACGGCTTATATTACTTGTGCTATATGCATAAAGAATGCAGGATCAGTCACAGAATGGGAATGGGCCAAGAAGAGTTGGTTGAGTTAGTAGGCCTATATATTGTAATGAAAAAATTATAACATCTGCAAATGTGAACCCATATTTTTAAGTAGCATTTTTTACCCCAGATTTCTCACACTATATGTGGTAATATAAGGTTCATTAAATTTATTGACATATAAATGATAAAAGATGCCTCTATCTAATATAGTTTTCAAAATAGCTGCACCCCAAGCGCTTAAAATGTAAATTATAATATTATAGAATTGTACATGGACATTTTTCACTAATTTTTAATCGCTCTGTTTATGATATTGTTATATTGCTTAATCTCCAAGATTAAAAATTATGTTGGGTTATAAAAAAAACAGTTAAATCATATCCTTTAATTATCCTTACTTGTTATATACCCGGTAGCTCTACAGTTTGTTCTTCACAAGTGCAGCCCAAGAATTGAAGACAGCAAATCTAAAGAGTCTTACTGCTGCCCTTAATGCTGGATTGGATGCAATCATGAAGTAGGCTATAAATTATTTTCTGTAACTTTCAGCAACTAATTTCTTCTTTTTCAGTATCACTTTGATCTATTATGTTTAAATGACATGATTTATTTACTTTTTCCCTCAACTTCACTCATTAAACTGACCAAAGTTTTGTATAATGAATAATGAACAAGATTTTGGTATAAATGGCTTAGTGAAAATTGCTTCATTTTCTGTCAATTTCTTTGTGGAAGAAGAATACAAATAGGTGTACAGGATAATAAAAGGATGGAATCTCAAATATAATTAATTTTATCCAATATAATATCATAAATTATTTGCTATGAGTTTGCTTGATGTGCATGTTGCAATGTTTTCATAATTACTTTTAGTATGCTCTGCTGACCTGTGTAGGTCACTTCTCTAAAAGACTTGTATTTGAACTTAAATATTAAGTATCAAAATTGAAATTAAATTTATTAATTGAGAGTTATGTTTACCTTTATTTTAACTAAGTAAACCATATTTTTAAAAAATCTAATTTTAACAAACCCAAAATGATGGAGATACTTCATCTAAATCTAAGGAATGGCCATAACAATAGTAATACCGGTTGTTAAGTTTCTGTAGTTTTTTTTTAACAGAAGTAAATCTTCAAACTGAAGTTTTCTCTTGCCTTTCAAAGCTTACCTTAGAGAATTTCTTTACAGAACTGTAGCTGTTTATTTAGCTGACCCATTTCAAGGCAATATAATTTACAAGTATTACAGTAAATGTTTTTTGTTTCTTTGCAGATATGGAGGAGCTAAGCCAGGGTACCGCACTATGGTATAATTTTTAGTGCAGTTTAAAATTGTAAAGTTTTATTTACCTTTTATAAATTTTCAACCCATTTTATCTTTATTTGAAATAAATCATATTTTTTGCCCTTTAACTTGAATTGATCATTGCAATTTTATATAATTTTTTTTTCTTGTTTTTATTTATATTTGAATATTGCTCAATTTTCTATTATTTTTTAATATCTTTATTAAAAGAATTTGTACAGTACCAACATATTATTTAATTGGTTACAAGAGAAGAAACAATGACAAGGTCCCTGGAGATGACAGAATATGCACAGAGTTGCTTAAGGCGGGGGACCAGACAATTCCAAAACCCTGCAACATATACCACAGAATTTCTGTTACACCAAAGATGTTCCATCAACTTTGGAAGTCGGGAGCTACCATCCAACTGCTAAAAAAGGATCTAAGTGATTGCACCAACTGACAAGAAATCCCCATCTTGTCATTCACAAGCAAAGTTTTCTAAGGCTCAAAACAAGATGAAGATGGTTTGGTCATATTTGTTCATTTCCCAGGACAGCCTTAAGATGAAACCTCAACAAACAAACAAAAAAAAAAAAAAAGGTTCCAGTACCACCAAAAGAAATGTGCACAGAACATTGGCACTGGATCTGGGGAATAGTATTCAAAAGCAAAGTTTTCTAAGGCTCAAAACAAAATGAAGATGGTTTGGTCATATTTGTTCATTTCCCAGGACAGCCTTAAGATGAAACCTCAACAAAAAAAAAAAAAAAAAAAAAAAGGTTCCAGTACCACCAAAAGAAATGTGCACAGAACATTGGCACTGGATCTGGGGAATAGAAATCTGAGCCTTTAGACAGCTCCTTCAGAAAGCTGCTAATAGTCATAAGTGGTGTTCGTTTGCCATTGTCTAAAGTACCTGTCACCACACAAAGACTGAGTGTACGAAGCAAAGAAAAAAGATTAATTTCTCTTAGCTTTTACCTTCAAAATATGACTCACAATTAGACTTTAAAAAATCAATTTAGTTATACATTTTTTTATTATAATGTTTACTGGCGTTGAAGAAATTATTAATTGATTTCAAAGTGCTGTTGCAAAACAATTTTTTAATTATAAAAAAAAATAATTAGCATTCATTTCTACTTTTTTTTAAAAACCCTTTTGCTTTAGGTAGATCCACTCTATGCTGCTTGTGAGTCACTAAAAGACAAAGATTTAGACAAAATAACTACATCAGATGCAATAAAAATAGTTGCTGAGGTAAGTTACTTCCCACTAAAATACTTTGTTTATCATCATAAATTTTGTGACTGGTTTCTTGCCTAACTTTTCATATTTTGAAACATTGAGTCACTTAAAACTAAAAATGTTTTTTAAATATTTTTTTTCATATACCATACAGGCAGCTCAGAAAGCTTCAGAAGACACTGTTTCAATGGATGCTCAGGCAGGGAGAGCAAGTTATGTTAACAAAACTTTATTAACAAAACCTGATCCAGGAGCTGTAGCATTGTCAACATGGCTCAAAGCAATTGCTGAATCTTTGTAAAGTAAAAAAGTTGAACTGTTGAAAAACTAACTACCCTCTTAGTATAATATTCCATTCCATTAAAAGTGATTTTATCACACTAAAATCAATTCAGATCGTTCAACTTTTTAAAAATATTTATCTAGTCCTATTATACTTATAATTCACTTACATATGCCTTTTACCAAGTCTGGGGCATAAGCCGTTCACAAGAATTTTCCATTCATCATGGTCCTATGTTATTATAAGGTATATTGGTATATCTAAAAAGTTGGACAAATAATTTAAAAACTGCAATCATTTTTGTTGATTGGATCTGAAAACAAAAGGTATTAAGCATTGCATTTTTAATGCATAGCAGCAGTTAGAAAAAATGTGCGATCTCGATCATATTTTTAAATTCAAATATAAATGAAAGAATTGTTTCTATCAAATTCATTTATGGTTAATTGTAACGTGAAAGTAATAAATGCAATATCATTTTTATTTATATTAAAATTAAACCTTTTCACTTTTTATTTCTCCTAGAAATATTTATAGCCAGATTTTTGGTACAAGGAGACCAGATTTCAGAAAAATTTAATAATCAGATTTTTTATTAATCAGTATTACTATTTTATATTGTAATTGTTTCAATTAAAATATTATAATTAATACCTAAAAAGAAATGTTACATTTTTCATAGAAAATATATTTTCTGCAATTTATGTTTGTTACTTTACTGATGCAATTTTATGACTGATTTTAATCTGCTATTCATTTTTTAAAATCTTAAATTTATTGTGAAAATTTATGTTTAACATAGTTTAGGGAGAATTCAGTTTCAGTACCATTTAGAGTCTATGTCATGTAATATAATTAATTACATATAATTTTGATATAATTGTCACATCTCCCACAGAAATATTCTGTTTCATTAGATTACAGAATTAATTATTTCTGAATGCCTACTTTTTACATAGGCTAGTAAATAAATTTTTCTCTGTACAGATAATTTTGGTTCTTGAAATATATCAATAATAAACATTTTTAAATAGAATATTAATAGACAGTAAATTCCCAGGAAGGAGAGAATTGCTTATTTCTCTGCTAACAACCATCAAGATTACACAACATACTGACTTAAATGCAGATACTGATCACAAGACATTCATTAGTAGCCTATACACATGAATCTCAATTTTTATAATCCGTATCATAGAATGTGTAGAAAAGAAGTTATTTTGTCACAAACTATTGTAACAATTGAATAGTGATTTTATTTTAGAGTCAAGGTCTTTTGCAGACATATAGAAGACATAATGGAAAGGCAAACTTCATGGCTCATACTCATATATTTATTTATAAGGGTGAATATTTCTGTGACACAAAATATAACTAAAGTTATCTTGAAAACTATGAAAAATTCCTGGTTTCTCATACAAGTATAAATAAATTTTCACGACTGTCAAAGTCATTACACCCCGAGTTTCCTCCTCCGTGGCAGCCTGTATCAAATTCTAACTATTACACTTCTTCGAGATAGTGATTACATATTAAATTAAGGGATGCCCTTTTCACATGGCCCTGCCCAAAGACAACGTGGCACCCCAGAGTGATGTGGCGCATATTCTGAGAACCACTGGGCTCGCCATACAGAGAAAACCTGTGGCACTTTTTTTTTTTTTTCTGACTGATTTGCTCATTGCCTACTTTTGAGTGTGCCTTGTCTTTACATCACTAAAATCCTCCCTTATAATGGATCATCACAATAACTACTTTGTCTAATCCAAAGCATATCTAATGACTTCAGCACTATGACTACATCAGCCAACTCTAGATCTTAAACTCTGGTCTACTGTTTCTCATCGGCAAATACAAAAAAAGAAATCAAATTTGGTTGTCCATCCAATGTGTGCATGGTCATCATTTCTCTGACTTGCAAGCCACAAAACCAATTACCTGTACCTGTACGATACATAACTTTTCCCAAGTAGTACCGTGGTGCTTTCATACACTGTAAGTTGCCATCCTGCATGTTTACTTCCCATACCGTGTCCTGATAAAAAATTCAGCCCACCCCTCTTATGTGGCACATATGACTTTTCATATTCTCATCAGCACCATTTTAGATCACCTGTGTGACTGAGAATCTATTGAATACTTTTTTTTAGTATGAGCAATGTTAAATTAATTTTCAATTACTCAAGGGTGGATGCATCTTTGACTCTCCCAAAGCAGCTAACCCTGGGTCTAATTAAGTTATTTAAAAAATATTAGCATACAACCTTCCTAACCAGACACTTCTTGTAATGGATATAATTATCACAATGAAGTTTGAACAATGAATATTTTAATTTTATTGCGTTAAGTTTGTTAGAGATTATTCTGTGCCCAGTCACACAAGCATTCCTGACTTTCACAATAAGAGGCTTAAATGAGTGGGAAATAGGCCTACAACGTGTACTTCCTTAATATGTTATATAGTTCATTAAACTTAACCTTTTCCAGGTCGTCTGTTTTTGTTTTTTTTCTGCCCGGAAACTGATTAGCTGATGAATATTGCTCCAATAAATTAAAAACTTAAAGCACTAATATTGGGCTTATTGTTATCGTTGATAAATTTACATTGGTTCATATCAATATATATATATATATATATATATATATATATATATATTATATGAACTTTCTAATTTTTCATTTGTAATAAACAGTAGGCTTAATCACTCCAACAAAATTTAAAATAAAATACACAATTGACTGGCAACATTCATAAAATAAAAACAACATTAATACATTAGGTGGTAACACTACGCTGGGTGGCCCGGGGTGGTGTTCCGAATTTTGCGTACGTGTGCATATGGCGGGGTTGTTTGGGGGGGGGGG